ATCCCCTGGTCGCCGTGCAACCATGTGTAAGATGATTCTGGATAGCCGTCAGCATTGCAGCGTAGAATCAGCTTCTCTGCCTCGATAATAATGACGTCATCATCACTGGAGTTGTTGCTGCTGCTGATGGTCACGGTGTCTGCCATGTACAAAACTTCTTTGGTTATAAGTTTGGTGAATCAAGATATGACAACGAAGTACTTTTTCAATATCTTCCGTTGAAAACCTGTGACACAGGATACTTTTTCTTGTAAATGTTTTGTTTCCTGAACCCGCTTCCTTTGTTTGACTGGAGTCGGCAGTGATATCTTTACCATTCAGCGACCAGGTAATGCTAGCTGTTGGGTTACTGCTGTCCGATACACAAGAAAATTGTAGAGTTCCATCCGGTGATGAAGAGCTGTCTATAAGATACATGGAAACCGACTGTGGTGACACAAGCACAGTGAGATGACCCTTGTTAGAGAAATAGCCGCTCCCCGGCGAGAACTCGACTTGCTGCCATACACAATAGAACTCTACGTCATCTTTCTCAACTCTCAAGTTAGATATTAGAAAGCTAAAGTTTCTTGTGTTGTACATGTTGGCGTCAATGTAGAAATATCTATCTTTATTGGTAGGACTTACGTAGGAACCGCCACGATACCAATAAACGGAAACGGGAAAGTCTTCCCCAGAATTGAAACTAAGGTCAGTCGTGCAGTGCACCGTAACATTGGTACCTTGAACTGCCTCCGTGTTACATGGTTGCTGCAGGAACTGTGTCCTCACCGTTACTAAGGCTGCGCATAATACACACACCGCAACCAGCTTCACTGCTGCCATTGTTAATTCTGCCCAAGGTTTGCAACCAACAATAAATTATATATAAACTATATAAACGGTAATTACCGTTAAACGGTAATAACCGTAAGCTGTAATAACCGTAAGCTGTAATAACCGTAAACGGTAGTAACCGTAATAAACGGTAATGACCGTTTACCGTATATCGCTCTATAGTATAAGTAATTGAGAGTTATAATATATTAATAATATAACAGTTATAAATAACTCTAAGCTTTAATCGAACATTGCACTTGTCTGATTATACGCTAGATGTCAAGTTGAATCATAATAGATAAACGTACCTCCGCGTGCACGCTTGTGTCGTCTTGTCATATATGAATCACCGTTGAGGCATGGCAGCCGCAGGATACAGGGGTGGATACGGTGGTGGATACAGGGGTGGTTACGGTGGTGGATACGGACGCGGATATGGCGGATACCGACGCGGATATGGAGGATACGGAGGCGGATACGGGGGCTACGGTCGAGGAGGTTATGGCTACCGCGGCTAACGCGGCGCACGAAGATACCGACTTGCTGTTAGTGTATAGGCTCCTGAACGCTGAGCGCGATAATAGCCCGTAGTATAGAGATCTATGTACATACATGGAATCGTGATGGAGATAGATGCCTCTAACTCAACCCCAATACGGCGATGCAATGTCGTTCATGAATGCGCGAATTGATGAGCATTTCAATAAATCGGAAATCTATGAGCATATAGATGTATTTTGGTAAATGAATTGAGTGTATTCCTGATTTGTACTTATTCGCATGTCTATTCCGAGGATGCTTTGTCCAGTTTCGATGTACTGTAATACACAAAATATTTCTGTTTAAATAAAAACGCTGTCTTCTAAGAATAATTCGATGGCTGATGGACAAATGTTCGAAATAGCAACATGCAAAATCACTGTCACCTAAACCCCATACTACAAAACTCTAAACCCCAAATATATATGCGTATAAAATAATAATCGTTACCAGAGGCCTGACCATAACCTAACGTTCTCATGGGAAGAATAACATAGGCAGCCTCGTCGTAGCTTCCTTTCATCTAACCAGCGCCATCTACTAGCGTGGCACGCTAAATGTAAGATTGTTTAGGTAGGATATCAAGGTAGGTGTCGCTCTCCTCAAATGTAAGAGTGTTAAAGCGACTATCATCTGAAGTGTTCCGTGACTGTCCACCATAACAATACGTGTCGCTGTTGGGAATCCAGCGACTGGGTGAATGCATAGAGGTAGAATCGTTGCCAGAGCCCTGACCATAACCTAACGTTCTCATGGGAGGAATAACATAGGCAGCATTGTCGTCGCTTCCTCTCATCCAACCAGCGCCATCTACTGGCGAGGCGCGCTGACTGTAAGAGTCTTCAGGTAAGATGTCAGAGTAGGTGTAGCTCTCCCCGAGACTGGGCTCGTACTGCGGTCGTAGGTAGGTTGTGTGAGGTTGGGTGTAGCTTCTTTCCCCTTGTCCCGAATCATACTGCTCCGGTACACTGTGGGATATGATCTTTCTCAAAACATTCATGCCAGCGTTATGGCGGTAATTTGTTGTGCTCTTTGTCGAAGAAGTAGGGGACTCTGAGTCATGCTTCCTTTTTGCACAGACGCCTACGATGACGATGATTAGGATGATCAAAACCAAAGCAGCGATGACCAGTCCGACAATGAGGGCCGTATTCGATGTATTTGGTTGGGGAGCAACGACGACTACAGACATTGAATTAGCAGAGTTCACAACTCCTACAATGTTAGCGGCTGAGCATGCGTAGTCACCAGCATCTACAAAACGAATCTGTTCCCTTTCGTAAACACTGTTCACTTCTGCATAAACTAGAGATTTGTTGTGAAGCCATGAATAACTTGGCAGTGGGTTTCCGTCTGCGTTACACAGCAGCCACAGCGCACTGCCGTACTTGACAGTCATAACGCCTGCCTGACTGTCACCGCTTACTCTGACCTGCCCCATGTACTGTACATTCAGCCAAACATCGACTAACAGTGACTGGAATAATTCGTGGATGTCAACATGACAGGCAAGTATTTTGTCGTGATCATCAGCGGTAAACGTACGCGTCAGTTTGCTGTGCGTCGTTATAGTTCCATCAGCTTCACTGACATGTAAAGTATTAGCTCCGTCTATAGGTGTATCACCAATCTTCCATGTTACTGTTCCTCCCGGGAAGCTTTTACCTGTAGTGCAGCTAACCTCAAGGGATCCCGCAAGTATCGTCATATTACCGTCTACATTATTACCGTCTATCGTCATTGCGACATTCGTTGCTGGCACTAACACGGTCACATTCAACTTGTTACTCGACATGTATTCTCCAAACACACTAGTTGCTTTACACGCGTACAATCCTCTGTGTTTAAACTTGACTATCTCGATCACCAGCTCGTCGCCTACAGCTTGTATCGCCTGGTCGTCGTGCAACCATGTGTAAGATGGTTCTGGATAGCCGTCAGCATTACAGCGTAGAACCAGCTTCTCTGCCTCGATAATAATGACGTCATCATCACTGGAATTGTTGTTTCTGCTGATGGTCACGGTGTCTGCCATGTACAAAATCTCGGTTGACACTTCTTCGGGTAAACGTTGGTGAATGAAAATAATACAACGAAGTTTCAATGTTCCGTCTTTGTCAATATCTTCCGTTGAAAACCTGTGACTCAGGATACTTTTTGTTGTAAATGTCTTGTTTCTTGAACCCACTTCCTCTGTTTGACTGGAGCCGGCAGTGATATCTTCACCATTCACCCACCAAGTGACGCTAGCTGCTGGTTTACTGCTGTCCGATACACAAGAGAACTGTAGCGTTCCATCCGGTGATGAAGAGCCGTCTATAAGAGACATGACAACCGACTGTGGTGACACAAGCACAGTTAGATAACCCTTGTCAGATGTAGGGCCGCTACCCGGCGCGACCTCGACTTGCTGCCATACACAATAGAACTCTGCGTCATCTTTCTCGACTATCAAGTTAGATATTAGCAAGCTAAAGTTTCCTGTCTCGTACTTGTTGGCGTCAATGTAAAAATATCTTTCTTCATTAGTAGGACTTACGTAGGCACCGTCACGATACCAATAAACGGAAACGGGAAAATCTTTCGAGGAATTGAAACTAAGGTCAATCGTGCAGTGCACCGTAACATTGGTACCTTCAATTGCCTCCGTGTCACAGGGTTGCTGCAGGAACTGTGTCCTCACCGCCACTAAGGCTGCGCACAATACACACACCGCAACCAGCTTCACTGCTGCCATTGTTAATCCTGCCCGCGTGATTAAATAACTGACGCCCACGTGTTCATCCGTTCACGAGCTGCTGCATCCGATCTTATATGCCAAAATCCATATCAACTAACCGAAAATAATTGACTTCAAAAATTTAGGTTGACGGTTTGCAACGATCGATTTATATGACATGGCTTCAAAGACGACGTTGTGTATGTACGCAACAGCAACGGATAGTCACATAAAGACAAGACAAAAACGGCTCCAAAGAGAACATTCGATGAGCGCTGATTGGTTGGTGCCACGTACGTGCACGCGGACGTATTAAAATGTTTGCTATATATGTAACGTGATATCTAGCGTACAATCTTAGGCGAGATGGTCTGTGAACTAGTATAAGATAGCCGAGTGTAATGTTTGATTAGTTATCTATTACTATGTTTCTCGCTGCGATTTATAAACGGCATTAATATTGCGCTAAATATCCTAGCGATGGC